TTAATTGATTAAAAATTGAATGGTTGAGATGAGGGTTATATAAGGTGTAGGAATGACAAAGAGTGTAGAATAGCATCCCTCTATATATATATATATATATAGGAAACGGTTCAAACGAGAACACTTTCATTTTACGAAAATACGATAACACTCTTTTACCATAGCACATCACATGTGAAAATGTAGTAGTCCATCACATGTGATACTAAATAAGAGACACAAGCAACCGGCGACCTATGTCGCGGTCCTAGCATGACGCATTTCACCCCATTTAAAACCTTGGTTATAAGAAAAAAAAATACGTAACAAGACTAATTACCGGGATTAGTTTGGCCGCGAGCCATAACCGTTTTGGAGAAGGGAATGGCATAAGCAACCGGCCAACGATGTACGCACCCATCATGGTACCTTGAAGAAAAAGGGCCACCGGGCGTTGGTCAAGCCCGGAAAATATAGCCATTAGTCCATCGGTGAACCAATGTCCAAGTGTCAAGTAACTAAAGCAAGCGCTACGCAATTCCCGGCTAACAAGGTCCGATGATGCACAAAACATCTTATAGCCAACACCTGCAACCGTGTTTAATGTAAATGACATCGGCTGCAAATAAAACACGAAATCACAAGTCATTTCGGATTGTCATTACGAGGAAAAAGTTCATGTTTAACTTTAGAAAGTGAAATAAACTCGCCTTTCGGAGGGTATAGAAGCGTTGAAGATGTTTATACGCATCGTTTAGATCATGTAACGGTCTAAGAAGGTCACGAAGCAGGACAATATCCGTTAAAGCGGCGGTCATTCCGCCTCCCGTTAGCGGATGTCGCATATTCAACGCGTCTCCGAGTAGAAGTGCACCTTGAGTGGTCTTTGATTCAGCTGGCATGGTTTTATTTGGCATTGTTCTTATGTTTCCTTTATCAACTGCTGCTATGAAAGCATTATATAACTCATGTGGAATCTGCAATGGTATTTAACTCGTCTTTAAACGTCTTAATAGAATATTTAATAGAACTTTTTTATAGTACCAAAAACTATACGATTTATACAAATATGTTATAATAAGTTGTTAAGACGATGTTAGGTGACCTAAAAAGTATTATCAACGATGTAAATGGCAAAATTGGAGACCTGTGGAGCCACGACGGTTTTCAGATACTTGGTCATCTCGCCATTCGAAATGGAAGGAACTTTTTCTCCGGGAACGTCCACCAAACAACGAATCTTTGTGTTACTAATCGAATAGAACAAAACGGGTGAAGGGTCGGCAATGATAGCGTGTCCGTGGTTTGCATACGGAAGATCGACGTTTTCCAGCACTAGAGCGACGAAACACGAAGGCACTTCTATCTGTAAAAATTTATCAGAAACTCCTACTCGAGATGTTGAAACTTATCGAGAAATCAGAATGATAAAGGGGGAATATCGTATTGGATACCTTCGGATTGCAGAGTTCGCGACGGAGATTCGAAAAACAACCATCACAAACGATGGTGAGAGGTGCGTATGCAGTCATTGCATGGCCACCTTTAGTTCGGTAATGAACTCCATGCACAGTTCCTTGTGTCTTAAGCAATGAAGTTACAGTCCCTTGTTCTAGTTTTACACTAATAAGACAAGGTTAAAATGGTAACTAAACAAAAGTACAAGTCATTTATGCATAAGCAACATCGTTATAGATTGGATCAGACATGAATGCATGTTCAGATTGGGTTGGATTTTATAAAGTTTTCCAAATCCATTTAAAAATGATTCAGGAATCTCCTTTATCTTTTTAAGAGCATCCACAGTTCCACACATATATACAATATAGACTTGAGATCATGTGAGACTAAGGGTTTTTCGTGAGACCCGTAAGACCAATTCTCAATCATTGGATTAGATCTACTATCTGAATATTTATAATCATAAAATTGCCACGAGACTACTCAATAATCACAAAATTGTCACCATGCAACTTTAGACCATTAGATCATTAGCTTATAAAGTTGATCAATGAATATAAATTGGTCTTACGGGTTTCACAAAAAACTTTTGGTCTCACGTAAACCCAACCCTATATATACATATATATATATATACATATATATATATATATATACATATATATATATACATATATATATATATATATATATGTATATGTTTCCGTCCTTGGTTAATTAAGAGAAATAAAGTGTACTTTGGAAGAAATGAAGCTTTGCTCCTCATCCGTTGAATAAAACGACCATTGTGAAAACTCTTTCCGGATACATTGGAGTCGAATTTCCCCAAAGGGTAATCGAGTCTAATGGTTTTTCCGTTAAGATAAAAGGCATAACCAGAAACTCGTTGAGCCTCAATTCCCTCGACACAATCTGCAGTGAATTAGTTTACGATCAAATGGTGAATCCTTTTTGAACTCAAAATACGAATGATTAATTCATGGAACCTTAGAATTTTACCCTCGAGTCCTAACTCCATCAACTTCATATAGCCTCCTGGATGTAGAACTTCACCTACAATTCGATCTGGCTCGGCCAAGTCCCGTTCAAGAACGTGCACTCGACGTCCGTCCTGTTATTTGGTCACGTAAACATAAGGTTGTAGGTAAATTTCTATCAAAAGAATAGCGGATTTGCCGTTAATATGATAAAAAAAACTGTATGTACTAATTGTTTAAAGAGAGATTTAAACAAATAAACTTGTGATACTAATAGGTAATTAATCATATATGATACATTATATGTTGTATCGGAAGACTTTTCCCATGACCTTTGGTCAAGTTTAGCAAGTCACCCGTGTCCCTTTGGTCAGGAACGATATCCATTGAAAAGTGCAAACATTAGTTATCAAATTTTAGCTTTTTTATATATGTACATATATGCATGCACAGGTGCGTGTGTGTGCGTGCGCATATACATATATATATATATATATATGGATGATCAAACGAGAAAGGTACCTACTTAAAATAACACGAAAAGTGACAAATTACGTGTGATTTTAATCTAACATCACATACAAAATCAGATTCATCAGGTGACTTGCCCTGCGATCTGCGATCTGGGGACGGAACCACAAGTCGCCCGAACATTTTTTTGGCCATTAATGTAAAATCATATGTGATTTACCCGTTTTCGTGTTCTTTTAAATATGTATCTTTCTCGTTTGATCATCCTAGCTATATATATATACATATATATATATATATACATATACATATACATATATATATATATATACATATATATATATGTAGATATAGAGGAGGTGAGAGTAGGCGTTAGGGTGAAAAAGGTAAGAAGAGACTTGGACCGTTGATTACTTTTAATATCAAATCAACCCATGATTTGCGTTTTAGAAGAGAATTGATCCGATGATTATCATTAGTGTTGATCTAGTGGAACTTTTCAATTTTGATTGATCCAAGGGTAGAGATCTCTCTTACTATTCTTACCATAACTCTCATTATGACAGAAACCCAACAATATATATATATATATATATAGAGAGAGAGAGAGAGAGAGAGAGAGAGAGAGAGAGATAGTGCTTAGTTCACATGTCAACCCAAATTATTGTGTTAACTTTATAAATCTTTTAGACCAATCACAATCCATCTTAGTATTAAGTTATTCACTATCTAAAGATTTAATGTTAAGGGTATATGACTAATTTTTTTGTAACTCCTATATCATTAATGGAGAGTTACAAGATCCATAAAAGGCAATCCATGGGCATGGAACCCCGAAAACTCTGGATGAGGGGTGAAATATTCCGCCTTCCTTCAAGTATACGCGCTTGCTGATTTTATGGAGTACACTGACCCCGGGAAAGAGACTGTAATCACCCATGATTTTTGCATTTTTAATATTGATGTTGTGATTTTTTTCATTTTTTAATATTGATCTTTCATTTTTAATATTTATAAATTTGTGATTGGTGGAGGAGATCCGCTAGTTAGTGTTTGTTATCGTTCAAGCGATTATGGATAAAGACATTGGAAAACAACACGACAACAATGAGAAATTTTAAATTGTTTATGGTGACAGTCGGAGTTCGAGATCGGGAAGTGAAGTAAATAATCAAAGTGAGTGTCTTGGTAATTATGAACACAAATTAACATATATGACACAAATTGACATGTATACACCATATGAACACAAAATGACATATATAAACACTTGTGGCATTATGAACACAAATTGAACATATATATGAACACTTGTGGCATTATGAACACAAATTGAACATATATATGAACATTTGTGGCAATTATGAATACAAATTGAACATATATGAATACGTGTGGCAATTATGAATACAAATTGAACATATATGTGAATACTTGTGGCAATTATGAACATAAATAGAACATATATGAACACTTGTGAAATTTTTTCATGAAACTGTTTAATCTTATAAAATTGTTTAATATATATAATATTTTTTTTGATGAAGTTCTTTCACATATGGTTATTATAATACTTATGAAATTTTAATAAAATTGTTTCATATATTTCTTTAAATAAGGTATTTATATAAAACTCGAAAGTCCCGCAATTCGAAAATCCAAAAACCGACCTTTTGGGGAAAATTTGGGTTCGGGTTGGATTTGATTTTTCGCCACCCAATCCGTCCGAAAACCTGAAATACACACACACACACACACACACACACATATATATATATATATACATACATACATACATACATACATATATATATATACATATATATACATAATTCATCATTAAAATCAATTTGATATATATATTTTTTGCATTATAACAAAATTCGAACCCGACCAACTCGAACCCGAAGCAATCTAAAATCCAAAAATTAAGGCTTGATTTTCATATAAAAAATCCAATCAGATTCTTAATTTTTCCGCCCGACCTACCCGATGGACACCCCTATATAAGATAAACCAATAAGATAATTTTAGTAGAAGAAAATACAAAAAGATAAACTTAGTAATACCAAATAAAATTAATTGTATAAAATCTACAATGAACAAAAAAAGAAATAAAATAAATAATTATATTTTAAATTACTAAAAACACTCTTTATATCAACTTTAATTTATATCTTTTATAAATCTTTAAAAACTAGATAAAAGAGGAGTTACGAATATATTGTATTTTTAAGAGATACAACTAATTAAGCATAATGCAAGCTCTTAAATGTAAATATACATAGTCGATTAACAAAAATATCTACAATTATCACATATAACTTATACGATCATCGAACAAATTATCATATATATATGATAAAAACTTATAATCAAACTGTTACGGATTTATCTTTTTGAATAAATGGATTATGAGGAATTAATATAAATCAATTTGAAAAATAAATTTGATTATTCCTACGGTTAGAGATAATGTTATCTTTTTTAAATTTAATTTAATAATATTATATTTTATTCATTTATTAAATAAGGTATGTGACATATTGTTTCTCACCTTCTTGCAAACAAATTACATATTCACATGTGATTTCCACTAAAATCATATGCGATTAAGGAACACGGTCAAACACAAGGGGTGTGTAAGCAACTTGGTCGTATATGATTTTACACTAAAATCATATGTGATTAGGTCATTCTTTTGTTTATTTTATCTGTTCATCGTTCTCGTTTGAAAATATATCGAAAGTTTTGTAGTTTTTAGAAGGAGGTCGTAACCCGATTCTTGATCACATGCCATGCCATGCCATGAACCAATTATTTGACCGTTGATATTTATCTTCAAATTCTCAACTATCTTCATGTATGTATGTATGTATGAAGTCACTCAAATTAGGCATATGAGTATATATAATCATGTGTTAGAGAGTACTAGTAGAAATACGTACTTTTGCAAGAGTATAAGCAAGAGCAGCACCAGCAACACCGGCACCAACGATGATAACATCCGCGGTGTTTCCACCGGTGTCTACCAACTCAGTTAACCCATCATTGCCGGAGTTGTTTTCCGGCTTCCCCACAGTCTCCTTCGGATTCCAACGCGTTTTCATGATCGACAATATTCCAAGGTCCATCAAAGGAGAAGAAGAAGAAGGAAGAAATCGACAATGCTTAATTTGCGGTGTCTAAAATGATGAAAAGGCTATTTCTAGATCACTAACTAAAACCTCTAACTTATAATGTCATGAGTTTTTCATTGACATTTACGTATTAAAACTCTTCTTTTTGCTGAAAATCTCGATAATTTAATTTGGTGCAAGAATTGCGTTTCATATATAGCTTTTAGTTTGAATTACACAATTTAGTATGCATGCGTGTGTAAGTATATATATATAGGTGGAGGTTCAAACGAGAATCCCTGTGATTTACGAAAACGCGAGAACAACTTAATAACCACAAACTTTTTTAATTAATAAATTAACTTTTATTATATATAAATAATTTAAAAAGGGCAGTATTGTAATTAAGTAATTTTTATAATTTTTATTTTATTTTAATTAACTATGTTTATCTTCACATTTCCACGTCTTCTTCTCCTTCATTCAAACGTATTTTCTTTCTCGTTCAACATAATCTTCATGTGATAGTGATATCACATGATTATCACACCCATATCACACAAAATCGGTGGTCGATTTTTTAAGTTAACCCTAGCCGAACGGAATCCTTGTGATAATTGTGTGATAATCACATGATTATCACACCCATATCACACCAAATC